AAGTATGATCAACAAACATGAATGTATCGGGCTTAAAAGGTATTCAATGTAACACACACGAAAAAATTATACCTATATTCTTCTACAAATGTCCGAGGCGTTGTGTCATGTACAGTAGACAGAGTGATAGAAAAGTTAACATTGACCTAATTTGGATATGTTACCAGTTCATAAAATTATGTAACCGGTTGGTTCTAGTCACACTCTGTCTGGAGACACAGGATGAAAACCTTAGGAGTCCGTACATCATTGAGAAGTGCAACAATATAAAACGATGTATTTTCACACAACACTATTAGCAAACGTATTTACTGACTAACAATACTTCACCACATTTACAAATAAATGACCTAGAAACTCGGAATTTCTCTTCATAACCTAATATATGAAGAAAGTCATAGGACACAACATTTTTCAGAGATAAGAAAGGACATTCACGATTACTGGATTAAACATTGCTACGAACAAATTATTATTAAACAGGTTTTAGGTCTCACTTGTTTAGTATTCACTTTGTATTTATGCTTAACCAGAAGTAGAATATTCAACTCACTTAAACACCCCGATTTACTGATCGATGTCTCAAGATTTGTGTACAGAAAACTGCATTGTGCAACTAAAGTATTCGAAAACACTTCAGTTACAAACACTGATAGTATTCCCTTTAAATATTGTCAGAGAAGTTTAACATAAGGTTGGAATACTCAAATAAATAACGGATTTCAATGATGCTTAAAATTTCACGAAATCTCAAGGTCCCAAGCTGAATCGAAACAACATGTTGTACTCCAAACGACTGCCAGAACGAAAAATATCGAAAATTGGTCTAACAGGTATGGGGGAAGTTGTTCATAATTCGGGAGAGACATACATCATCCAGGTTATGACAGCACCAATATACAAGATTTGAGATCATAAGTATCTAAGCAATCACAGCTGAATCTCATTGTTAGTTAACAGTAGACACCTGGAGCACAAACAAAGTCACGGCACTCCCAAATTACATCTCAGATGCACCAATCTCATTCAATAATACAGGAGGAAAATGCTAACACTAGGAAATAAAAGCTTTTTATTCCAATATATCTTAGCTAACATAATCACACAGAATGGAAGCAAAAACAATAAAAAAAAAGAAAACTAAAACTGTGCAAAACACATCCACACAACAGCAAATATACAAACAAGTAGAAAAAGTCAACTCATATGATTTCAGCTGCATTGGACACAAAATCCAAAAGATAGGCGACTTTAACACTGATAAATACGACAGTAATCAAAATATACAAGTTTATAAATGTGTAAATGCAAATCACCAAACCACATTGTTTGAATTTGGAAGTTGAAAACAGGTAAAATATTTCACTAAACGACTTGTACTTAATTCAACAACTGGACCATCACCATGACAACCACTACCAGGTGACATGAACGAAGCCACGGAACGTTCACCAAACAACCATTCAAATAAAGTAAATACAATACAAAGCAGTAAAAATACTAGGAAATATCTTCTGAATGGCCGTCTATCGATACCAGTCATAAAATTGGGTAAATTATGCAAATCAGTTTGAGAACATTGTGTGAAATGCACTGAACCAAGAGAAGAACGCGAATGTACATGATTAACCGCAACATCAACACAAATGTTGTCTATAGGTATCGAGTTATCTAATGAAATCGTATTGTCGACTACCTCCTTGTCTTCTTCTACAATAAAAGGATTAAGTGTATCAACTAAACGTTGCTTTTCATGACAAATCGATAGACGATTTGTTTTGATCATAACTGCATTGGATTTCGTAACCATTCCACATTCTAAATCACGCATCACATTGACAATTTGCTTACGAAGTTGACAAGAAAAATTGATTGAATCCGTAATAGCGCATTTTAATACATCGGCATCCAACTCCTTACTATAATAATCAAAGGTATCCTGTTTATTATGTTCTACAAGAATGTTTGATTCACGGGAAAATTTCCAGAAGTCATTGAATAAGTAACACGAACCCAAACGTGATTGGATGTTCCACAGGTTTTCGCTTAAATTCTAAAAAGAAAGTAAATTAGGTTGCTCTAAAAAGGGAACTAGCAACACGACTTGGAAATTATCATTTACTACAGAGATTTCCATTTACTCCGAGAATATGGCTACTCCGAATGACATGAAATTCAAACTAATCATCAAAAAAATTTAATTCCAATTTTAGTCAGTTCACCTTTTACTACACTAACCCTTTTCCAGAATAAAAACATATAGCATTCTACAGCAACCACATCAGGTTGAAAAAGTCCCTTATGTTAAATAACTATAGAGATGGAACCTGTATGTCAAAGGCTCAGAAAGTTGACTCCTAACAAAACCACCTGCTTCAGTTTGGGCACGGCGTAGTGCCTCCACTCCCGCATTCACACACACACATTGATTTATGTGGTGCACAAATATTTGGCTGCATCTTTGTACGATAAATTGTGTTGAAATAATTCGAAAGAGATGGAACCGATCTACACCAAGTAACAGTGAATAGTTCTTAATTTTTATTCTGAAATTACTGTGATAAATATATTTCTTCTCATTTCGTTTATTTCCTAAAACTATACCGAAGTGAAATGAGGGATCTTTAACCGATCACTATTCACCTCAATCCCTATATTACTTAATGAATTTTACAGTCGGTTGGGAAACATTCACACTATACTGTATGAAGATTGCAGAAATTCGGTAAATTAAGAATAAGGGCCAACTATTTATCAACTGTTGGGATCACTTTTAGATGCACATCACTTGCAAGATAAAAGCTACATTCCGATATATCGAAATAGCAAAATAACAAACATCAAGTATATTAGTAACAGTAGTTTCAGAAATGGTCAAGACATTTCTCTCGAATATGGACAGACATTATCGACGTACAGATACTTCGAAGAAAAATAATTGTCATCAAGCAATTCACGAAGACTGTCGAACGGACGTAACTGAACACTTTGTCCAATAACAAATGTTGATCAGTTTCTTTAAGTGAATCCACGGAACAACGTCTATGGTCAACACACTTTAAAACTATGATTCGATTGCGTGAAATAAATTGTTTTCCTGTCATATTGTTTCTTCCAGAGATGTGATCAGGACACACGTGTTTCGTTGACTCGATGAGTTAGTGCATCAAGCTAGACTTCGGAACCATCAGTTAACTATGCTTTTAACTTCATAACGGCCCTTTATCAACTACAAGTTATTAGACAACAAACTACCAGCGGCATTAACGAATAAAGAGAATCAGACATACTACTTACACGTAGTTCATCTAAAGTGTCTAGAAACTCGTTGGGTGACTGGATTGGAATTACACCAAGATCAGACTGTACCTCATTCAAACAGCGATCAGTATCACCAGTAGTAGATGATGTAAACTCATCGTAAGACTGTGGAAGTGGTTTCAATATTTCCTGAGCTCTGTAAATAGCTGTCTGAACACGTTGTTTCATGCCCAACAACGATATATTTGCGTCATGGCTTTCTCCTATCAAGTGATCAAACATAGATGAACGCCAATTTACAACCCAAAATGCCATACTATGTCTACACAAAAAAGAAATACCACAGAAAAAATAATCAGAATTACAAAATCGGATATTCAGATACAGGTACATTTACTACTTGTAAAAATGCAAAATTAGAAATTACCATTCTACAATAAAATAATTTCATGAAAATTAACTTAAAGTCACCAACCACAAGAGAACAACTAGATAATCCATCACACAATACACCTTGTATTGCAGAAACGGAAATATCGAGTAAACACATTTTATCCTCCGAAAACAGAGGATATTACAAATAGTTTACTTCAAACAGAGAAATTAAAACAACATGGGATCTGGTATAAACACGTATTAGTTCAGTCTGTTATGGTTAACATCAAGAAGAAGATAGAATGACATATACGAAGAGCAATTAATGAAAGGTAACGGTTCATACTGGATATTACAGTGAACGAAGACGGAAGACCAGATTACATAAGCAATTTATTTGGAGAATACAATATACCGGCCAAAAAAATTACACCTTATTATAAAACATTCATTTTCAAAACAAGCATATTCTTGGCTAACTTCATCCACATGCCTTCTATTCCTCAAAATACAGAGACAGCGCCATAAATCCATATCCAACACATCTATCTTCGGCCGTACCCTCAAAGCGACGCTCTGCTGCACATCCCCTGTGTACTACTCATAAGCCCCTTCGAAATTAGTACACAAAATGTAATGGACACACGCTAAAAAAGATCTACCCTCAATATGTGTTAACAAACAAACAAACAAAAAACAGACCTCGAAATAACCACATGACTAAATCATTCAATGAGACAAAGAGTTACTTGAAAACAAAATACACAATCGGAAATAAATATAAAGACCACAAGCCGCTAGGTGAGAAAATATTTTCAGATGATGAAAATCAGACAGAAATCGATCTCGTTTTTTTTTCTACCCATGTGAAAGCACACACTAACTATACAGAAGTACGTAGGCCATGTATGTGATTGCGTTAATAATTATGCATTCGAAACCATTCGGAAAACGTACACACTATACATTGAAAGGCTCAGATAACCGATAAAATATCTTCATCAATAGTGACTGCTAACTAGGATGAAATAATAAACCATAGAAATCAATTCAGTGTCTAAGTGTTATCAAGGAACAATTGACGGATAGGGTACTCAATCATTTCACTGAGGTGGATAAATAGATAATCTAATCAAGTTTCGAATCATCCTAAACATAAGAACGCACAATCACTGGTCAGTTGACCAGATATAATAAACTTCTGAACGCCCACTATATCATTGATTCTGAAATCTCCTGTATAAAAATGTTATAATGTATATAAGTAAGGGGAATTAAATTGAAGACCTATTATTAATTGGGTTTAGTTTTTTTAAAAAAAAGTGGGAATAATAAACACTTCCTGAAACGTATGTTGATCTTACCTTGCCTTAAGAGATGATAACCAGTCATAAAATGTAGTTAAGGCAATCGACAATGGAGTTCGCAATTGTGTTTTATAGTCTGTTTGGTCCGATGGAAAGGAATCCAATAACTTGTCCATAGTATTGGTCCACTGAGAAAGAAGTTTACCATAATGCTATACAAACAAACAGAAAATAAAACTTTCGTCTAGAAAATTAACATAACACTGTAAACAATGACAATTATCAGATACCATTTAATAGTATTGAGCTAAATTAGTTTGTCAAAATGGCACCTTCATGTTTTCACATCGATAAAATACTGGTCATTGAGTCGTCGTCTTATGTGGTTCGGTTGATTAACAAAGAAAAAATTGATGAGAGAGAATGAGTATTTATGCGTTGTTATCACCAATAACAAACACTACACAATAATTGGTGTACCGGAGCTAAAAGAGAAGGTCGAAAACGAAAAGAATTGCAGTGTTTTTCACAATCCTTCTCATTAATAAGCTCTGACTTAATTTACAATAACGATTGAGTGCTTGAAAAATTATCGTAAATTACAAAGTACTGCTTCTCTATAAAAGATTTTTAGCTGAGATTAATGGAATCACAAAGGAAAAAATAGCAGGCTTCGAAATGATCGGTTTTAACATAGCTTCAACGATGCTACAACTCCCACGAAAAATAATCAGATAACCAACTCAACATGAATAGGACTTATTCTGAATGTGCATGACTCAGTTTGAGAATAATTTCAAAAACAATCAGTTATCAATCAAATTCGATTTGTTTATTCAGTCATAAAATCATACATTGGATGTGAGAACTAGTGACACTACTCACTCGAAGATACAAAATTCAGGCCAATGCAGCATGATTCAAATCTGCACAAACACTGCATTCTTTGATAATCTACAGCTGAACGATAGAATAAAACTTTATTGCTTCGTATTTTTTCATCCTCCGTTTAAGTATTAAATCGATGTGAAATGATAAAAATAGTAACTCCTAGAAGTCTCCGTCATTCATCCTATACAGTCAAAGTAAGTGCACATAGATTCAAAGACTAAAAAAAATTTAAAACGGCGAACAATATAACAAGATAAAACACAAAGTGATACCGTGAGATAACTTTTATCAATATCCAGTTGTCGACGTTCATCTTCCAATCTTTCTGAGCATAGATTTTCATTAACTTTCAAATCCAAATCCAACAATCCAGTCACAGATTTCTCTTCTAAGCGTGATAATAGTGTAATAAGTGGAAGTGCATCCCAACGTATTGATGTTAAAAGAGGGAGAATATCAGCTTCATTTACCAACGAACTATTGGGCACATCGGTCACTGAAAATGATGAATGACAAATGTCTTACAAGTTATGCAGTCTTTTTTTACGAAAAAGAGCAATGAAAGCATGTGACAGATAAAATTCTCGGTCATATCACAAGAACTATATATGTATTTACATCACTAATAAACAACGTCATTGTCTGTGTTAAGTAAATCGCAAAAAAAATCTCGACGCAGACGCAGACGGTGAAGTTCCACTGGCTTTCCAATGCAAACGAATTGTGCTTCTGCTCACCAGAAGGTAAGCACACCCTCAAACCAGTTCAATTAGTCATTAACCTTATTCAAAGGACTACACTATCTCATTTGAAAGTAACGCATTCGTGTAAAGTAATAAAAAAGATTTGACCTTCTATCAGGAAATTAATTTGTCGACTTGCAATATGCAGATGATATAGTTTTGTTTGGTGAAGACGCTGACAAAATGCAGAGTTTTCTAACCACATTAGGCAACAAGGCAAGCATGTTCGGGATGCGATTCTCCCACTCAAAGTGCAAAATGTTGCTTCAAGATTGGTTTGCATCAGTGCCTGAACTAATAACAGGGAGTAAAGTAGTTTAGCGTGTCGATTGCTCCACTTATCTTGAGAGTCTCATCAGTCCTCATAACTTGGAGTCCGACACAATCTCATCACAGATACAGAAGTCTCAAATGGCGCTTGCCAACTTACCTTACTTATTGCATAGGTGATATATCCGTCTACCAACCAAGGGATGAGTCTATTGCGCAGCAGTTCGTTCCGTCCTACTATACGAGTGGTCAGTAGGAGTAAAGGATAATCGTAGGTTACTGGATTTCAATCACAGTTGTCTTCGAAACGTTGCTTGTATATACTGGAACCTCCAAGTAAGCAATGCTGTTGTTAGGAAACAGGTACTAGGTAAGGACGACATACCAATTGATGAAGTACTGAATGCTCATCAGTTGAGGTGATCGGGATATATGTTATGTATGGCCAACCACCCACTGCTTCGACGAGCTATGTTTTGTGGTGAAGGGATAGGCTGGAAGAAAGCTAGGGGCAGTCAGATAGAAACATGGAACAAATCCGTGGAGTCACTGACAAGTGAACTGAGCCATGATAGTATAACTAGACTGCCTGGTTGGGGTCAGCAAGACAATAGTAACCGACGGTTAGAGACTTTAAATGACATATCTCAAAATCGTTTGCAATGGAGCAGGTGCATCCATTCTTTGTCTTCTCTCTGATTCTAATCTTCTGAATTTCTTATAACCTTTCTTGTCTTGTTAAATCAAATTCACCGAGATATACTTCTCGAATCATATCTTCCATCTTTTAGACTAATGTGCTATGGCAAGTAATCTCAACGTAATCCAAATTGCATAATCAAATATTAACCAATCAAAGAACAGGATTTTGGTAACCTTAAACACTGCTGCTTACATAATTAAAACAATGATAGTTGTGATTCTTAAAATAACAATTATCATCATTATTACTCTAAAATGCTTTTATTCAATTCAAACATCACTCTAGTTGTATAACTCTTAAAATCAAAGCAAAAAATACATGCTTGCAGAGATAAATATGAAATCTTTTGTAAAAATAATAAATTTACATCGTAAATCATCCGAATTATCCCATTCCAGTAGATCAGTATTATCATTATCTCTATGGATGTTGAACGACTTTTCAGCTAAATCAGCATCAATACCATACATCAGACCATTATCCTCATGAATACAACTAAACTTCTTCGACGTTTCAAGATCTTCAGCATCGTCTTCACCATTGTTAATATGATTATTGTTTAAATTATTCGCAGCAATTATTATCGATGAAGTATTGGAGGATTTTTCAGGATTGGAACTAAATGAATTTGACTCGCATTCTATGGTTGGCAATAATTCTGAGAAGATATTATCATCCAAACGATGATTTCTTGTTTCCCGTAGATTAATAGTATTTAGATTGGAATGGTCATGTACATGAGGCAATACAGATGTAAAGGAATTTCTCCGTAACTTTCTATCATTGTATTGTTCAGGACTAGTTAAAGGATAACCAGACGTTGTTATGAATTGATGTTTATAATCCTTAAATGAGAAGATAGCAATAGGCATTTTGGATATATCGTCTAAACTCCAAGTAGTACGACGTTGAATTCGATTTCCATAAGAGCTATAGTGACAAAAGAGATCAGATAAAAAGTAGGCATGGTAAAGTTGGGACACAAGACATCATAAACACAACAGTTAATTGATGTAGCACTGGACAGGATTTCTTCAAGATCAAAAGTATTTCATAAGAACCCCTAAACTAATAACCAGAGTTTCAGTTTACACAAAAACCACATCAACTTATGCATACAATGATTTGCCAAAACAGTCCAAATGTAGATTTCAGTGGAATTAAACTGGATTATGGTTATTAGAAATATACGAAAATATGTTTTCTTTAGCAAAGTGAAGTTGACCAACTATGCACGGACTGTGCAAAAAACCAAATGACTACACAGTAAGACAAACAGTATTCATTCAATCTAACATGTAATCTTCAAGTTGGTGCAAACGACTTATGAAACATTATTGCAAGTTCAAAATCTTCCCAATGGATGTATTTCAAAGGCTCTAAATACTGAGATTCATTATCTACTAAGAAAAAAATACTTCAACAAAATATGGATCGTAGGGTTTCGATAAATGTGCACTAATTAGGTGAACATATCTATTAGTAACCACATCATTTTGAAATATTAGTAATTAAAGTAGTTTATACACTAGCATCATGGCAGTTTGGCATTAGTTTTGCTTCCAAATTAAAAAAAAATAGTTTGAATTTTTTAGTTACTATCAAAACAACAAAAGGTTTTATTCTTGGTCTAACCACCACAGGTTTTGATGATATAGTGTAGATTTTAAATCACTTATAAAAATCAAGGAATAACCATATTTCTGATAGCGAAAAAATGAGCATGTTGTTGCGGTTGCACAATTAGTCTGTTGCCAACAATTTTCAATATGAAAATACATCTTTGGTGATGAAGTTAAACAGTGTGTATTTGAATACTGAGGGAACTTCAATCCCAAACACCTAAAAGTGAACTATTGATGAGCAAGTAAAAACCCATGACTACAGAATCCGAAAGACTCAAATAAAATATCTAATATCAAATTAACTCTGGTTTGTTTATACGTTTGTGCAACTCTTTGGACAGTTTAATTCTCTTTCCATCATACAATACATCATACAAAGTACTGACACACAGCTTCTAAAGTTGTGTTTGTGTGTATTGAGTAGTAGTAAAAGACGCCATGCCAAATTTATTCTTATCGATTTATATGTGTAGAAGATAACAATCCACATGAGGAACAAAAGAGTATCATCTGAAAACCATTTCATATAGTCTACTAGATATGTTAGCTTTATGAGTTGTGAATCTCGCTTCCTACATATATTCGGTAATTACTATAGGTGCAAAAAATACTAGTTGACGAGAGAAAAATAATAAAAATTATGAAGTACTACATTCAAGTTATTCAACACAATTAGTATCTGATCGAACAAAAATGTTAAAGTTAATCCAAAAGTCTTAGTGATGTACTAGATCAGACGTCACTTAAACATCAATGGGAAAGTTCGATGATAAAAAACTTACATAGAGAATTAATGAACAAAATTAAACTCTCAAATAAAATAATCTGCAAATCACATTCAATGTGTAAAGATAAATGGAAACAAACAGCTGTTTCGAAAAGCTAAACGCGAAAATGTGTAATCACAAAAATAATCTATGCAAAATAAATAGTCTTATATGTCAAGGTTAGACACAATTTTATGTGATAGCGTGGGTGCTAATTATTTGATTAGACAATTTCATACAAGTTACACAAACCTTAATCCATATAGACATAAATAAATCTATAAATGAGAAACGTGAAACGAAAGGGAAGTTATGCATAGATAAAGTAACTAATCATTTTAGACAAAATAAGCCTGAGCAGATTTAGTTACATATCATTATCAATTAAGACAAAAACAAATAGAAACAAATTATCAATAAAAAAAATTCAACCACTTATTAATCTTAGCTGATGTTTGATAATGATGATAGTTTGACAATAATTCAAAATAAAACCGTCCATTTCAATTGTTCTAGTAACAGATGTCAGTTAGTCTGAAATTTATTTACCAAGTGTGCGCTTATTTAGTCAGTTTCCAGACAGATATTAAGTGTGAGGGCTATTGATACTCCCGACAACTCGAATCAAGAGCCACGGAATGAAGTTCGAACACACAATGTATTGGTTGGAAGTCAAGCAATTTAACCAGTAAGCCACTAGCTACGTTACGGTAACTTATCAATATTCTGATTTTCGGGAGAACTCGGTACCATTGTCTGAATAGCATAACTTCATTTTGTGGCGCAACCACGCCAATACCAAGAACCCTGGTGACCCATAGTAAACTAAAAAAATTACATTACCTGTTTTATAATAAACTGAAATCACACATTTGTTTACCATGTTTTTATATTGTAACACTGATTATTAACGAGTAAAATGTAACAGTTAACAGAACACATAATTCCACTGCACAACAGTATGGAGAAGCAAATTATGATTTCAGCAAAAACAACTATAATCCAGAGAGGTACACGTTGGGAAAGAGAAGCGTGACTCTTTCTTGTAATTCCAGGTTACAAACAATCAAACTAACTGTAGATTACATCGCAGACTGACTTTATTTAAACAATCATTGAAAACCAAAGAACACTGCACAGCTATTCTATTCTATCATGAGACTTCTCAGTAGCGCACACATACAACACCTAGGGAAAAACCAATGACTTTTAGGCTTCAGAGAGAGTGAGTCTCATACTAAAGCGAAAAAGCTGTCCAGTGCTTCCAGATTTTCAACTATTATTTAGTCAACGTCAGTTCGAGAAATTAGCAACAAATTGAACAATATCCACTATGTAATATATTCATCATTCTCTAAGTACACATGATATAGCTAGTAATATAGTATTTCCAGTTTGAAATACTTCCACTAATCTATTAAAAGTACAAAAAGCGAAATCTTTAACTGTTGGATCAAACCGACATTTCTGCTTAGGTGGATATATTAACTTAATCAATAGTGTTCATGAGAAGACTAATTATGAGGAAATGAGTAGTAAAAAAAACCACATAACATTGGAAAATTTACATTATGATCGGGAGTCACCTAGGCTGGAAGCCACCAATCAATCTTAACGGGAAGAAATTCAATCGTAAACAAGACTAGAGATGATATTGGTTATTAATACGTGATCAGCTAATTTATACGTTTCAATCTCTAAGGAGTAACTTTTATGATCGAGGTGAGGTGATGCAGGTCCCGATCCTATAGATGCAACAGATTCTTTGAAACTCCAGACACGTTTCGCTTATAAATGCCAACTAGTATAGAATACTAAAGTTCAGGGTTTCTAATTAATTACTTCCAATCATTTAACTACTGATGGATCAATAGGAGAGGGAAATCTAGAGTATGGCAGTTATAGCAGAAAATAAACACCAATTCAAAGTAAAAAACTAAGTAACAAAGACTGGCATTAGCTGAGAGCATGGAAAAGGCAGTTTTATTTTAAGTTGCAGCAGAAGCAGCTGGAAGAAAGTTAGGAGGAAGGTGAAATAAAAGTGACATCAATTCAAGAAACTATCACTTTTCGGCTTGAAACTTGTCAGCAGGTCCAGACTGCCTGGATGGATTTCGCACAATAACCACATGAATCAGAATCAACCACATCAGCCCAAGTACACTCAATCTGTCTTACACTACTTCCTGAGCTCGAACAACATTTCATACTCCTCGCTACCTGAGTTTATCCGTTCAAACCATAGCTTCCTATACTCAATCTTTTGCGCAACCATTATTGCTGCTTTTATTCGGGCTTCGCTGCTCATCTTGGGATTTTTTTCACGTCATGTTTATCTTCTACAGCAACTTCGGCTGCGTTCTGTTGCACAGTCATCTGATCCTGATGCTGACCACACAAGATTTCTATACGCGAGCACAAACTAGTTACTTGGGTGATAAGAAAGACTTATTGACTGGAACTGAATCGAGAACATATGTACTCATTCCAAAATATACACCTTTTCTTCCTGGAAAACAAACCTACATTTTCAATCAAAAATGTCCGTTCTTAAAAAGTGAAGCCAAGTTTTGAACGATGGCATGTGCCTATACTGTGCACTGCCTGATTGGTCTGACATATCGGATTGACGCTTGCTCGTATAAGGCTTTGTTGATTATGATTGACTGACAACCTATACTAGATTCTACCGAAGTGCACTAACTTATTAGTTTGAGTATAGATAATTAACAAAGATAAAGTATCACAAGACAACTATACGCAGCGTTCCAAAGACTTATGAGGCAGATAGGCAAAGCTCTAAAATATTTATAGTTGACATAGCGATTAAAATAATGTACAATTTTCAATATATAAAGGTCAAGTTACTGTTTTAGTCACCATTAACATAACTAATAATATATGGATCAGATAAATGTACACTTTATTGTGATAAAATATACGGTAATGAAACTTCAAACTAACCATCCGGGTTTTAATCCGGAATCACTGGAACGGAAACGTGAATAGGGAGAACCTAAATTATGATAATTTGCTGAACGTATGTTCGAGTTATTGCAGCCAGAATCTTCTAAGGAACTTGTACTTCTAAAACAAATATCAGATGTACATTTGGATTGTTTTGCAGGGTATTTATATTCATTAGTCTTGCCTTTATCATTTTGGCCACTCTTCCCGTTACACTCCACTGAAGAACTGACCAATTTAGTTGGTGTGCGATTATAGATTCCATGGAATAAGCCAGAAGGTGGATCACTGATTGCTTCCGAATCGTTTGAACCTGGGAATAACCAAAAAATATGGATTTTTCGAGTGATTTATACAATTTAGAAGACAAAAATATTCACTTCAGTATAAATAAAGTGGTCGAATGTAAAATTAAGGGAAACTGGATTAAAGTGATCGCGTATTTTGAAGAAGTTAGTTTGCAAGGTGATATTCTTGATTCTTGATAACGAATCGTTTACATGGCATTATCCATTTATGTGAATACAAACATGAATGTTAGCTGATGATTGCAAACCATATGAAAACTTTAGGCACTACTACCACTCCAGACTTAATGACCTATAGATGGGACGTTGACCGTACTAACATAACTTGGAGAATCATCAAGAGATTCTTTGAATAATTTTTGACGGGTATGGACAATATTGAAAACTGACCACTCATTACAAAATATTTTCCGATAAATTTCAATTTTCATACCAGGATTGAATGCTTTCAGCATATTATATAGGTATGTTCATTGAATAGTGTTGACATGACCATAACTTTACAAAAACACACGAAACTTTGCAGCATTGTTTGGATCAAACCATACAATTTTTTAAAGCTTCACACTTGTTGAACAAAACATAGAAAGACCTTAAATTTCAGATTGGAAGTTGTGTCGGAGGTGGGTTTTAGAATTGTATCCATGGAGGTATCACTTACTACAAAAACAGAAAACCTGAGGAAGTTTATCGCAAAGCGAACCATAAAGAGACTCGAGACCACCAGCCAAAAATTAAAACGAATAGCATCTCAAGGAATTCGATCATCGATCGAAATGAGTGCAGAGAAAATAGTTATACATAAGGAGAGTGGTGAAATTTACTAGATTTTGATGGAAATCAGCATAATGCACACAATTTCAGGTTAATCCAACAAACTTTTCAATCTAGGAAAATTAGCTACGTGAAACCAATTGTTTTAGACAATGTAGTTGTTTAAAATGAACTAATTCTGGACCTAAACCTGATTCACTTAACTTTAAATGGATGAAATTGTTTTCCCTACACATTTACTACATTTTAACATGATTGTAGATATTAACTGTTGAGCAGTACAAATGATGCCCAACCGTCTAAGTTATCAGTAATACATTCCAAATTATATATTTCTTAAATAAAAAATTACCTGTACTGGAAGTCCATAGACAGCTTGAGGATTGAGAACGAATATAATCGTTTACGGATGAAAAGGATTTTGCATTTTGGAACTTCGTATTAAATAAATTTGAAATCACAAAATTAGGATTAGATAAATCGAATTGATCTGTTGCTTGACAAGTTAGAAAGTGGTCAGCATCACTTGAAAATCCTGATTCTGAACAACACAGTGAATATGTACTGGAGGGTGAATCGTCTATTTGATTGTTCACTTCAACATTTAGCTGGCACTATTGGTTGAAATCATAAGATTTAACAAAAAAGATACAAGTAACAACTCGTTTTATGAAGTTGATGCAAATTGTTATTAGCAGTCAAAATTAATAGGAATGAAGCAAATCAACCAGTATACATAACCGAGAACATGAATACTTGAACATAGCCAGTCTTCAGTATTGCATGCAGCTAGTCAAATAAATAATAAATCGCCGACGAGCGCTTATTTTGACCTTCAATAAACTTAGGTTAAAGTATCCCAATTAAAATGTATAATCAATGAATATAATCAGGAAAGGAATGTTACACCAGTTAAACGTGACCACGTAGTATACGTGGTAGTATACCATAGTAACTCTTCCGACTTCTGACGGGCGTCAACCATAAGAAATAACCAGTTTAGTATTTACTTATGAAGTACTTTCAAAATCCGACGAATTGATTCATTTATTATTCGGGCCGTAAAACAATATATGACAATCTACTATGAATGGATATTTTTTTATGTAACAAACGGCAGTAAACTTCTTTTAGCTCCTTACAATGTAAAATCCTTTCACTGTCGAGTTTCCTACAAAGTAACTTGTGAAAATCTAGTTTATCTTCACTCAATGCTCCTTATTTTCACTTCACTGGTGAAATCGCCCAAAAAAACCAGTTCATTAGACATCAGCATTCCTCTTCTAGTATCTGGTTTTTAAATACAAACAACTATTCGGCGTTCTTTTTAGTTTGTAGACAGAAGAAAGGAAACCAACATATTCAAAAATATATACTGGTGAAAGAATTATGTGATTAGCAGCAAACAAAGTAATTAGTAAAATAGTATTTATAAGTTCCTTAAACCAACTTTATATCTATTGACTTGTGACTGAAGTGAGGTTTAGCTTAATTCAACTTATATTAGTAACCATGCATGATTGTGTTTGGCTGTGATATGAAATTCAAATGAAAGAGCTATTGATACTATCTGGTTCTCAAAATCAAACGAATGGAATAGTGTTGGAATATGCTACACAAGTGCTTTAACTATTACACAAAGATTTTAACAATGCAAACATATAACTACAGGTCAATGTCTGATGTTCTAAAACTCTTTAACTTTTTAACACGTGAAATCAGCAGTCACTGAAGGGCGGATAAGATCATGCAACAAATCACAAGAGTAAAACCGTCGCGGTTTTACTTTTAGGTTATGTTGTCTAAGACGCTGCAGAACGG